CTGCATTCCGTACGTATTCGGAAGCAGGTGAGCGCAGCGGCATGCTGGAAGTCGATTTGAGAGGATTTGAAGCCATCTGAAGGCAGCTATCTTGCATCCCAGTTCATGGCGTAGTGGCGCCTGGGATGAAGACATCCAAGCAAGTAAACGCATCACTGGTCTATAGAGGCAAAGCAATTGAGCTTTCCTCGCAGCGAGTATGAGTGCTTGCGGTATGTGATCTTTCATATGTCCATATTTGTGAATGTAGGATCAGGATCAATAGGATCTCCCATGATATCTGGAAGCGCAGGACCGCCTAAACCGCGGATACGGCTTAACAAGTTGTTGACTGAGACATTGACGTTGAGTCGTTGCTCTGCAAAGACCAAGTCAAGTTTTGACTGGGTGTCATCTGCGTGGACGAGGTTATGATCATCAATTGCTCCCTTTGATCTCTTCAATGTAGCTCTTGGTATTTGCTTGCCACAGCCGGTAACAGGACAAATCCATGTGTCTGGTGGAATGTTTCCGTTCACTACTGCAGTGCCGTTCTTGTCATCTTTGCTAGCCTCTCCATCAGAGTATGGATGACCTTGATTTTCCGTAGGCGAGGATTCATGAAGCAATTGTGCTCCTCCTTTTGTTGGTGTGTCTTCTGCAACAAGAATATCCTCCATCTCTTCTTCAGAGTCCACAGAGGCGTAGTCCCGATTTCGTTTACCCGCCTTTTCAGATGTCTTTGGTCGAAGGATTGATTTGCGGTTTCTCCGCTTTCGATTCTTCTTCACTCGACCTTCGTCCTCCTCGTCCTCTTCTGATTCTGGGCCTGATTCGGATGCGTCTACATTCTGTCGGCGTCGAAGAGGCGTTGCGCCAACTGGTGGAATATCTTCGAGTTCCGTAGCCTCTTTCAGTTGCCGATAAATTGCTCTTCGATGCCAGTCCGAGGAGGCGGTACCCTGCGCTTCATCCATAAGATTTATCACACTCCCGGCCCGTGAATTTACCAGGTTGATTGCATCCTCCAAAGAGCTCATCTCGTATTTCTCCAGCAATTCCTCAGCCACGCTCTTCAAATGTAACTTCCGCTGAGCCAACAATCCCGCATCTTTCATTTCCAGGATAATCTCGAAAATGGCATTGGCCTGAGAATTTTCTTCAGCGTTATCTCTAGGAGGGGAGTTCTCCATTACCACGTCTGATTTCGAGTCTTCCTCCGAATGGGGATCGTTAAACAAGTCCTAAAGCATTGTCAGATACCATTATAGAATGAAAGTCACGGCAAGGGTTTGGTACCGGAAACTCTTCACGTAGATGAGAATATACCAAGGTGCTAGGCCAGTCAATGTCCTCTTTCCCTTGAACCATTTGTCGAATGAGAAATTCATGATGCTTGTTGAAGACCTCCAACGATTCTTCGGCATCCTCACAGGCGCCATGCGTGTGCCGTGTATACTACCATCGAGTTCATCCATCAGTGTGTCCATCTAACAAGGCAGGTAAACAGTGGGTAACAGACCTCATCCAGCAAGAACTCCCAGGTCAATTTTTTCCGGTTCTTTCCCTTCCGCTTCTTAGGCTGGTGCTGATCAACTAGGAAATAGAGCAGATCAACAGCTTCAACAACCTCCTGGAACATAGGCTTGTAGCCCTTCGCAGGAGATATCGAGAACCACCCCGCATCGCCAGCTGCCCAGATTCCAACTCCACCATCACCATCTTGCCCATATGCATAGTGCGTCACATTTTGAATGACCACGCGCTTTTGAAGGTAGTCGCCGTCGAGAACTAAATGGAAGAGAAGGGGCAAATTGTCAGCGCGGAAGTTTCATTTGACTGAGAGGGGTGGGTGAATTGTAGATTCCGGCAGTCGACGGAGTTAACATGGAGTTCGCATTCCCCTTACCGAGAGATTCTTGACCTTCATCAACTTCCTCGAGCTGACCGGTAACCATCAAGGGGTTATCCTCTGACGCAGAGAGGATGTTCGCATAGCGCGTCTTGCCAGGAATGTAGACCTTGACGTCCTTCAAGCTGAACTCCTCCCAGTCATTTTCATCCGTCAAGCCGGGATCCTTGGAAGCTAGGACTTTTTCTATGCGTGCTGTCATGTCTCCGAAACCACCATGATGGCGAATAGTGTCAACGCAAAGCTCGCGATGCCCTGGAAGCTGTCGATTGTTTGAGATAGAAAGAGTCGCATCGGACATTCTGATAAACAAGGTTGTGGTCACGTAATTACTGTAATCTACCTCTATCTACATATGTTTGTTTACAAATACGGGTATGTAAGTTACAAACTAAACCTTCTGAGTTGAACTTCAAAGCTTCAAGTTGAGTTGCAGCTTTCAACTTTCTCGCAGCACCAATTACACGGTATATCTGCTTTTTGTCTGACAGATATCGGGGATTTTACTGGCTCTAACAAGGTGCAACAATATTGCCCATGAGAAATCCTTTCCTCGATGAGCTTTCGCCGCCTGAATTTGAAGCTTAAGTTCGCAATGTCTGAAGCTGCCAGAACTATGGACGGCGTCTTTGGTCAGTTTGCTACATATGAGAATTAAGCCCTTGAGATCGCTACTGACAGTATGATTGTATAGCTGTCCACAAGCCCGCAGACATCACCTCTGCACAAGTCCTCCGTGACCTTCAGAGACAGTTCAACAGATCTGATTTCTTCAAACCGTGGCTAGCGGCCGAGCGCCAGAGATTACAAGACGAACCGTCTTGGAAAAACCGTCGCCGAGGAAAGAAGTCAAAATGGATAGATGTCAAGCTTGGACATGGTGGGACTCTAGATCCAATTGCGACAGGAGTCTTGATAACGGCAGTTGGCAAAGGCACCAAGCAGCTCAATAACTTCCTTGCATGCACAAAAACATACGAGGCTGTCGTTCTCTTTGGTGTAGCAACGGATAGCTATGATCGTGTTGGAAAAGTGGTTAGCAGAGCACCCTATGAGCATGTCACAAGAGAAAAAGTTGAAGAGGCATTGAAGAAATTCCGCGGCAAGATTATGCAAAGGCCATCTATATTCTCGGCATTGAAGGTCAATGGAAAGAAGCTATATGAATATGCGAGAGAAGGCAAGGAGCCACCTGCTGAAATATTAGAAAGACCTGTTGAGGTTTCCAACCTTGAAATTGTGGAGTGGTATGATGGAGGCTCCCATAAGTATGTGTGGCCTACGGAAGAAGCCGAAGGGCCAGAGAAGGACATTGCGAAGAAAATGCTAGCAAAGGGTTCAACTCTGGAAACTGAGCCAGCCAGCAACTCTACGAATGATCCCGTCGCAAGTGAAACGTTAGACCAGAAAGAGGGAACGAGTCAAAAAAGGAAAACTCCGCCTCCATCAGATACGGCAGACAATGAACCAAAAGAAGATAGAAAGGAAGGGGAAACAAGCCTTGCAGCGAAGAGGCAGAAGCTGGACACTGAAGGCCAAGGGGAGCAAGTTACCACTATTGAAGAAAAAAAGCTACCACCTACAGCACCTGCAGAGGAGGAAGAACCATCACCAAAACCACCGGCGGTAAAATTGACAATGACTGTGTCTTCAGGGTTTTATGTCCGATCTCTGTCTCATGATTTAGGCCTTGCCGTTGGAAGCAATGCTATTATGAGCGAGCTAGTCAGGACACGACAGGGGGACTTCGAACTATCGCCTGATAAGACTCTCGAGTATTCAGACATGGAAGCCGGTGAGAGTGTATGGGCACCCAAGCTCCAACGATTCTTAGATGAATGGAAAAATAAGGGTTCCGAGCAAGAGGAGCAGCCTGAAGATAAGTCTGTTGCAACAGATGAGAAGCAGGAAGCAGAAGATTAAGATTCCGTCTGTGTATACAATTACCTTACATAGATTAATAGATGTAAATAGACACATATTAACAAGCCACAGTGGATATATGTATGGTATGCAACATAGCAAATTGAATTGCAAGCAGAATCTTCAACGGTAATGCATGTCTGTCTATATTTGAAGGGGATAAACAGGAGAAACACGATCAAAAGGAGCTGAATCGCCAACCCAGAACAAAACACCCTCAAAAAAAAGCACAAGCGGAAGAGCAGAAACAGTTCAACAGAGGAAAGTAGATGGTATAATGGATTTTGATCCCGGCGACGAGAATCAAGTAAGGACGGACGCCAAATAGGAAAAAGGCACACAAGAGACTGGTATAATAAATTAGGGACAATAGCGAGTGGGGAAGAAGTGGGAAATAAAGAGATAAATGAGCCAGGGCACAGATTAAAGAAGAGCGCAGAGAGAGGATTCGATAGAATGACGACCCTGATTATTTTTTTTGTCCGGTGGAGGCGGATGGGGAAGGGAGGGTACACAACTTCAAGGAGAATCAATCGGAATATTGAGAATAGTATGTGAGGCAAGTAGATGGATGGGATAGACTGAAGGAATAAATGGCGAAATGAGGGTGCGTGTGGAGAGATTGGGTAGAAATAAAGAGTAAATGAAGGGAAATATGGCGCAGAGGCTTGAGTTCTGGAGGAATGTTTGCTTCACCTGAGGTTCTTCCAAAAAGCATCTTATCCGGGTCAACGGTGTTTGTTTCCCAAGAGTTTGTGGTGATAGACCAAAGAGGTTATCCAGACGCACAAGAAGGCCGGAGAGGAGGATAAGGAAAGAAAGCTATCAACGACGGTCGAGGAGGTCGGGGAGGAGGTATGAGTTGGGTTGTGGAGCCACCAGAACAGGATATCATAATATCATATAACTCATGAAATGGACGGGGTCGCAAATTATCGAAATTAATCACCTGCGGGGTGTACTTTAGATCAGGTAGAAGGTAGTAGATAAGGAACGCAAAGGAAAAATCGCAACGAAAGGAATATGCGAAACGAACGCAATTTTGCAGCGGGGGTATTAAGGAGAGGAAGGCGAGGCTGGTCTTTTGAGGGCGATTATTGGGTATAAGCGTGGTGGGCATCGATCAAGGCTGTTAATATTGGTCAGTAAAGGAACGATCAAGTTGAAAGTCTGATTGAGGGGGGGTTTATTTGATTGACTTACTTTGGAGAGTTAGACTCTGTCCTTGCTTTGATTCACAGGCGCATTGGAGTGTATTTCCATCACAGAAATCAAGGAGGATGCTATTAGGCAGCTCCTGTCTATCATGATCAGGTACATACGGTCTTCGGAATTCAGAAAGGTGGTAGCGCTTCACGGTGTTTCGAGGGTTCCCGTCGATTGTTCCGGGAGTGAGAATCAAATATCCGCTTTCATCGACTCGCATAAATCTACGCTTCCACAAGAGGGTGTCAGGGAATTGAACATTGACTTCACCGACGTCGACGACATGAATTGGTGTGCTGTTACTGGCTGGAGATTCTTGTATCATTGGTGTTTGAGGGGGAGCTGGGCCCTTTTGATCTTTGGCTGTCGATTTCCGTAGGGGATTCGTGGTAATGGAGGACATGCGGCGAATGATTCGTGACTTGCGAGACCCCTTTTTGTCTTCCTTTGTCTCATCTATGCTCTCGGCGTTGCCGTGTGCTGTGTCACTTGAGGACGGGGAGTGTACAGCGTCGAACATCGGTCGAGTGATGGGGGTTTTGTTTGTAGTATCGATGGAAGGGGACTTGGGTCCAGTAAACGAGTTTCGCTTAGAGCCTGCACCACTCGAACAAATCGAATGACGCTTTTCGGGGCTTCTGATACTCAGGTTGGAAGCTTGAGCTGACTTCTCACCGTTTTGCTCGACTGTGATCTCGCTCCGGTGAAGGTTCAGGGAGTTTGGCTCCGAGTCCGATGGATTGTCGGATGCACTGGCTGACGCACCACGTACGATTCTCGCAGTGACAGAAACTGATTTGGACTTGGGTCGGTTGGAAGACTTGGAATCGCCATTCTTCCCCGATGCAGCATCTGCAGCTTGTGGTAGAGCTAGGTTGCTGGGAGAAGGGGAGAGAGATCCCGGAGACTGAGATATAGAAGTACGCTTTCGGAATTTTTCGAAGGCAGAGGGGGAGGCAGACTTTTGTGGCTCAGGTCGGTTTGAAGCCTTGTCTGGTATCGCGCCAGCTTCTCGGCTCGAAAACATTTCCAGGGCCTTGATGCGTTTCGAGATGCCCGAGGAAACATTTACCTTTTTAGCAACGAGGACGGGAGCTGATTTTTCTGACTCAAAGAAAGCCCTGGATGAAGCAACACCGACTGGAAGGGCCTCGATATCCGATCTCACGGAGGAATTGGAGACCATGCGGGAACCGTTCCAACGGTCAGCAGAGGAGGCGCCCTTTCCACTGCTGCTTGTAGGCGTACGAGGAATAGTGATAGGTCGAGCCTCTTGCAGTGTTGCACTACCCAGTTCATCCATGAAAGAATCATCCGAAAGGAGTATATCCTCCTCAGCATTACTAGCGTTGGATGGGATTTGAATGGGGTCAAGCATTGCAATTCGCTTTTCCTTCTGGCTGGCCACTGCCGTATCAGCATCCTTGTTCGTGTTGGACTCTTCAGTAGCCTCAGGTGTGTTATCGGAGACCTCTCTATCGTCAACCTGGATGATTGGCGAAGGTACAGTGACGGGTGCCTCTTCAACTTTTAGTTCTGAATGCTCATCGGTCGTGCTTCGGGGTGTAGGAGTGTCCGAGCCCAGGTCAGATTCCGGCTCAGTCCCTGGGGCTGGAGCAGTAGAAGCAGCAGCAGCGGTTCCGTTGGCTAGGGCTGGAGCGTCTTCTTCTGTTTCCGCTTCCGGCTTGGGAGCATTATCGTCGACGGGGTCGGGGATCTCGTCAGCAATACTCGATTGAGAGGAGTTGGCGAATACGGTGTGTTTTGAAAGGGCGTCCGACTCCGTGTCCGACACGTTTCGTAGGGTTGAAGACGAGCTCGTGACCACTGAAGACTTTTCGATCGAGTGGGAAGTGACGGAGGAGGAGAGTGAGGCATCGAGAGAACCTTGCGGGAGGGTAGGAGGCGAGGAAAGGGAGCTGGAAGATTCTTCGACAACAGGTTCAACCATTTGGTCTGACATCTGGTCTGTCTGTGGTGAGGGAGCTGGATGAACAGCTGTCATCTTCGGTGCAGCGTATGCCACTGGTTTAAGGAGCTCCAATTCCTCAGGAGGTGTCTGAGGTGGTGTGGGCTCCAAGTCCACCTCCTTTTCAATAAGGGGAGCAGCAACAGATGAAACGTAGGCCTTCTTCTGCCCGACAGCGACTGAATGATGCGACGGGGATAGCTCAACAGCCGAATCAGGCGTTGACGCCTCGGAAGAAGGTGTTTGAACAGTCTCGTGCAGTTCTGGCGATGTTGTAATTTTTCTGCTCTCGACGACAGCTGTCTCTGCTTGTGGTGTGTTAGCAGCATCCTTGTCAATAGTTGGGCCCACAAATGCCGATCCTCCCTTAGGAGAAATTCTGCTAGAGATTTCCCCATCATCTTTCCTTTGCCCCTTTGCTTCTAGCAGTTGTTCTGGAGTTTTCGATTCAGCCTTCGATTCAGCCCTCTTCGGCTGTCGAGCCATTTGCTGTTTGCGTAGTTCTAGGGCCCGCATTAGACGCTGTTTTTCCGGCGTCATTCCGATGGTTGTAGCACAGCTTCTGATCGATCTCGGAGACGAAGGCGCGTTTCTCGAGAAAGATCCGATTAGCACTGGCGGCGGGACCAGGAGGGGAGGCACAGGAGGTACTGTCCCCTGAGTCTGGGCACCCGGCTGCTCATAGTCTGGCTGTGATTTGGGCCGCGATGTAGACTGCTTCCTCGACCGCATTCCCGCAGGGAGCGACGCAACCGGCCGAGGTTCATAAGATCGAGTCATGGAGCCTGCAGTCTTGGGCCGCCCACTGGCATCCAGTGACGGTCGTGGTCCAAGTCGTACTTTGGGTCTCCGAATGGTAATTTGATCCAGCTCGTGGAGAGACGGCCTGACTGACTGAGAGGAAGTTCGTGATTCGGGAAGCGGCTGAGATAGCTGGTCGAGAAGGTGTTGCTGAGGAATGCCATTTGCACGAGTTGGACTGCTCAAACCGGGGGCTGAGGGCAGTGGTTTGTGGGAGAGTGCCTCTGGAGCCAGCATGACACCGTCTGGCAGGCCCTTTGAAGGTCCGTCTCGCAGCATACTATGGCTAGGCACTGCGGTCGCCTCTGAAGTCCCGCTGAAGACGCTTCCTGCTCTACTATGGCTAGACGAGGTTGGGACACGCTTGATGCGCTCTTCCTCGTCCGGTCCGTTCTCCTCGGCATCTTCGGTGATTTCTCCAAGCCGTCGTTGTCGCAGCGAGCTCGTCGAGGAGGTCATGGAGCCCGATGCGGTGTGCAGCATGCAGGTGGATGAGAGCGCATTTTCGGTGAGTTCAGACGGGGTTGTAAGTGAAAAGACGGTATCGTGAGGCGAGAACCGGTCGAGAATCGACTGGAACTGGACAGTTATTCGAGCTATCGACGCAGAGTCAGCATTATCATGCAGGCGAGGGCCCCATAAGATGCGGTTGGTTGAGCAAGACGAAGCCGGGTATATAACTTCATCGAAACCCATACAAAAAGCCACGACCAAAATGATAATATTAATAAAAATAAAAATAACCGCGAAGATCGAAAATACCTTGGATGAGTCTCGAGATTCCTTCAGGCACGTATCTGAGTATGATCTTTCTCCGGCGATACTGTAGGAAGCCATACAGCGGCGATTTCTCCTCGTAGGCGGTTATTGTCGAGCGAATCTCCACGACGCCCCCGGTTCCCTTGTGCAGCAAAGCAACAACATCTCGCGAAACGTATTTTAGCAGGAACCTGGAGCCAGCGAGTCAGCAAGCGGCAGACAGATAGACGGATGACCATGAGTTGTCTGCATGCGTTGGTAAGGGCAGAGAGCCGCTCTTTAATAATAAGATGGAGAGGAACCATGGTTGCAGCGCCCAACTCAATTGCAGCAGGACTGGGGACAAGCAGAACTCACCATCCTCCGGCCTCAGCGAGCGCACTCTGGTAAGACTCGATGATAGAGGGATCATCTAACCCATTGAGCGACATGACGGGTTCTGCATTGGAATGGGATGTTTGCAGCGCCGGAAGGACGAGAGGGAGTGACACAGTCGGTCGGTTGTTGCAAGCAGCAGCAGAACAGGCCCAGAGTCAAGTCAGGGGGCAAGACGCCGTCCAGGAGGGCGTCCGAGGCTAGTCGAGAGTATACGAGGCCGGCGGCAGCGAGGACGGGCACGTCGAAGGCGCAGAGGCAGACGGAGAGCAGATGCAAGAAGAAGAAGAAAAGGCAGACGGCGACGGGGAAGAAGAAAAAGAACGAGGAGGTTGTTTTTCTGGTGGTGGAACCGCAGCCAGCACTTTTTTTTTCTTTACAACACCGCAGCTCAACCTCTCTCTCTCTCTCTCTCTCTTTTGCTTCTTTGCTTCTTTGCTTCTTCTTCTTCGACTTCGACTTCGACTTCTTCCTACGGTCTAGGGCTTTTTCTTTGATGGGCGGCAGGCAAACGGGCCTCGTTGCTTCTGCTCCCGGCGGCTCTGGCTGAAACACAGGCCGACTATCTATCACCATCTACTCCATACATACATGTACATGCACTGCTACAGCAACAAACAGCTACGGCGACGATGTGCCATCGCACAGAGGACAGACAGGCTCGCTGGCCGTCTGAAAAGCAGATCCTCGACGGCCCTACACGCACCCAAAGTGACATGTCACCGGTCTCGCCTGCGCAAACCCTGCTAGACGAGCCATTTCGACTCGGTCTCGCGCTGTGTGCGTGTCTATATAACTTCTAAAGGAATGGGACGACAGCAAACACGCAGGCCAGGGCCTTCCAGGGGGGGTACCTCTTCTCGACCTTTGTCATTCGCCTGTTCACAGGAAAGAATTCAGAAGAGAAAAAGAAAAAAATTAGACGAAGCCAGGTGGGAACGGGCATTGCAAAAAAGAAAAGGACAATAAAATATATATAATAATAACACAGGCGAAAGAGAGGGCGAGAGATCTGATCCACCCAGCGCTAAAGGGGATTGATTCATAACGCAACTCGCCAATCCTCGGAGGATAGATATAAATACTTTTTTGCCTCGATCCAGAGATTCTTCCTTTGATAGACAGAGATCCTGAAACCTGGTCCGGTTCCTGACCCAGCAAAGTCGCCTTCGATGGAGTAGGTGTCAACTCTGGCTGCGCGCTACAAGCCTACCCCCTGGACCTTGGAGACGCCTTTCACAAGCATATTACGACAGCGCATCTCATAGACCGAAAAGACTACCTGCTATTAAGTAGTTATATATTCTATACGGGGGGGGCCAGCAGAAGCATCGCCACAGGCAATTGGTCGGCCTCTGCAGATCGGCAGACGTTGTCAGGCTTCCCATGCCGCGCCCCAAATCTCGCTGCTTGCTGCCAAAGCTCCAGCCTCTGCCTACCATCGCCATCTCCCAATGATCGATCATGCTGGTTTCAATGCCGGTATTGCTTTTTCCTCTTCTTTTTCTCTTCCCACTCCCTCTCTTGGCCCCTCGCTGTTTGTTGGATCTCGACATGTACGACTTTTCTTTTTTCTGTTTAGCCACCTCCGCTGCCCGAGGCCCTGCCCGGATCCAAACTTGGATGCTCGGAGCGCGTGGGAGAGACGCCCTTTCCCCGATTTCCCCCCCTGGGTTAAGGCAGATTCAGCCGTCATCTTGCATGGCTTGCTGTCCCAGCTAGCAGGCCGTGTCTTGTCAGCCAACAGACCTAACGACGCTGCTAAAAAGGTATAGAGGTCTCCTGCAATCTCTCTCTCTCTGGTAAACGGCTCGAGCATAATTTATCTCTTGCCAGGGGCATAGCTTCAGCTTTCTTTTTCTTTCTTTTTTTTTTTTGGCTCCTCCCTTGGCTCCGTGTGGGGATACCCCGGTTGTCCAAGACGAACTCCAATTCAGTCAAAACAGCTCCATGAGATAGTTTCACAACCCCTCTAACACCTTACTCCTCCATTTCTGTGACGTCTTTACGTGGACGGTGTATAAGAGAGCGATCTTATCTACCGGGATGAGGCATGGTCAATCAGGGCGAGTCAGAGAATCCACAGGATCGCGGGGAAGCGCACAGAGTACAGCAGAGTACGAGGTCATCACGGTTCTCTGCAAGGGGGTGTCATCGTTAGTTCGCTGACTTGACTTTCAACGCTGCCAGGGGTCTGTCATGCACGTCAATCCTTCTCTGTCGTCTGGCTAGCTAGCCTAGATCGGGATTATCTGTGAATGAACAGGCCAGCTGCATAAATTAATGGCTCGAACAAGTATAAGCCCCGTCGCATGAGACCCTGGCTTATATACATTATTCCTGTTAATATACGGAGTAAGTAGTTAGTATATGCATACATCTTGCCGTCTCTTCGCCCATCAGTTTATGGACATCTTGACTGCAGATCAACAGACGTATACTTACAGAGTACCTGTTCATATGGAGGTCCTAACCGGCATGGTATAATTCTCGAGCTAGCAGAGAGTTTTTTTCATTCTTTTCCCGAGGAATACAGCATTGGCTAAGAAGTTTGCTCTAAGGGCGTAACTAACGGGAATAGTCCTCCGGTTTTATCCTTTTCAATGCCAGTTTCAGGAATTTTCGCTCTGGTTGTAGACGATAATCCGCCTACGACCTAAGGCCGAAAACTCCTTGAGTTAGCGGCTCCAGGGGTAGTTGTAACACTGTTGGTTTCCTCTGGTGACATCTCTTCGCTCGTAGCCTTCATATACATGTCAAGAAGATGTCTGTTCGTGTTATTCGTTGCCTCCCACCTTTCAACCGAGACCCAGCCGTCGTCGTCGGTTCGAAGTTGGCCTTTGATAGTACCAAGCAAATACCAATCATCCCTGTATCGTGGGACTTGCTCCTTGTGTCTCTCCAAGGCCTCTTCACTGAGCTTGAACTGACATTTACCGGGAAATCCAAGGAGATTCCAGTCATGGAATATCCGCATAAGCAAGTTCCGTAGTGAGACTAGGAAGTCTATTAAGAGGGAAGCTCACAGCATGGTTGCTGGTCCATCTCCATTGCGCCGTAGACAAATATACATTTCATGATACTTCGATTGAATAGCTATAGTGTGCTCTTCTTTATCTCTCTTTTCTCATTAGGATCCAAGTCGTCAAAATTCGTTGGTAAGTTTAGGTACGTCTATTCTTAGACGACAGCTTTTTTGGCGGCTAAAGGAACTCAGGAAACTGCACCAGTAAAAATATTGGGCGCGCTTCAATTGACGACCAATCAATTACGCCTTCAATGACGGTTGGATAATCAGGAATATATGAAATTGCACTACGCACGAGAATATAAAGTACCTCAACACAGTTGGTGGTAGGGGGGCTTACAAAACTTTAATGTAGAAGCTGTTGTGAGCAATGGAGCTATCACTTCCTTCCTATCGTAAGGAGGGGAGGCCTTATCGGAATTTCCCTCAGTCTCTCCCCACATTTAGTTTTCAATCCGAAGATATCAGCAGCACGAGAAATGGTATTATGTGCCATGTATTCACTTCTACGTGCAATTGAGTTCTTGAAGCCCTAGGAACTAGGAAGATGAAATAGCGAACGAGGTAGCTTCCACCGCATTTAATTATTAAAGCCAGCTCAAGTGAGTCCTTGGAACGTTCCACCCACTCCCAACACTACGAACTGGAGCTGGCGATCTGTTGTATAAATTTACAACGGGCAATTATTGAGGCTCAAAAATAGTGAACGGAGTACTAGACATAACACACAATCTAACAGGAGCAATTAAGGAAAGAAATAGTTAAATGAAACAGTTGAGTAACGCTGACCTGCTCACCAACGTTAAGTCAAAAGCTCCTGACGTCAAAGATCGAAATGAAAGGTAAACTGTCAAGTTATTCCATTTTATGTTCCATCATGGATGTCCATCATCATAGATCATCAGCCCTAGATAAGATTGATAAGATCTTCTGGTTGCACAAGCTCTGGTAAGGGTTGAAAGTTTATTAGATAATGGTAATCAGGTGATTGTATTAGGTAATATCAGTTAGTTAGTTACGCTAGCGCTCTAATAATTGAAACTCTAAAAGGTTCCACTCTCCATGGATGCGGGAGACTCCGTAGAAATCAAGGCGTTGCGGAAACCCCTCTCTCCCTTTATTCCGGTGTGGAACAGGCGAAGAAAAGAGACCTAAAGGAGAGAGTCGAGACGACGTATATATTCCATCTACATTGGTCCCAGAGCAATACTCGGAACAATATACCATGGCATCTCAGGATACCCTCAAGTCGGCTCAGCCTCTGCCACTAGAAGCAGCCAGCATTGCTAGTAGCTCGCCAGCCGAACAGATCGCTGTCTTGGATATCCTTTTTGAACCATCCCAGAATCTTCATAACCTAGCTCTTCCACTGCTCCAAACACCCTTTAATTCATACAGGGAGCTTATCGATCGCGTACGGGCTGAACTCCACCAACTAGCCGAGAGAGCAGCCTCAGACGACACCGACAAGAAAATCCTATATGATATCCTAGGCTCCCATCCCCGCCTTGGTGCCCCAAAAAGCTCTCATTTGAGCGAATTTAGTAGACGGGAACAAGTAAATCTCGCTACCGTTACGTCCCCGGGACAAGGGGTCGAGGATGAAGCTGATCGGTTAAGGAAATTGAACGAGGAATATGAAAGGACCTTTCCGGGTTTACGATATGTGTGAGCATGTCTTATATCAATCATGCACTTTCATTTCTCTCATATATGCATGGACGTGAATGTTAATTTTAATTTGTTGCTGCAGGGTGTTTGTCTGTGGACGGGGGAGGGATGTTATCATGGAAGATATGCGTCGTCGCATTGATACCGCCGATGTCTCTTCTGAAATCGATACTACTATCACAGTGAGTTTGTTCTCACGTCCCCGGATCCGTTGATCTTCGATCTCCTTCATATTTTCGAGCAAAGTAATATAACATTTACCACCATTCTAGGCCATGTGTGATATTGCCAATGACAGAGCCTGTAAGTCAGGGTTACACTGAGGGCGAGCTTAAAGTTGGACAGGGCTACATGGCAGCAGACACTGCTAAATAGGAACATACCAGCGCTCTATACGGAGTATATAAATACACGATAACACTCTCTCTTACCCTTACCTTCCACTCTCTTCTTTCGTCTCTACCACCTCGAGTTGGATTCTCCAGATTCGAAATATAGACATGTTATGGGTCGCATGGAAATCTATACTAAATATAGAAACAGGTAGCTTATTCATCAAGTATTACAGTCATGTATTGAATACCAGAATGAGCCAATAAGAGCACTATATTTTAGATTTGGTATGTAATTAGAGGGTATCAAAATTACAGGATTAAAATTCTTCCACTACCTAATCTAATCTGATTAGATTGACGGCCCGAATGTTACTCCGACGGCGGGTATTTCCCTTCTTGGAAAGTATTTACTTTTTGCCCGGATTTATTGAATATTTTTGTTTCAAGGATGCTGGACGAACTAGCGAAATATCTCCCATTCTTCACAGTTCCCCCTAACCGTATATATACAATGAG